CCCCCCCCCCCCCCCCCGATTACAGAAAATTTCTCTGTCCCAGCTAGTGGGAAACTTATATTTCCCTCTTACATTTTTTTTTCCAACGGCACCTAAAATCTAGGCTAAGGCAGAGTTAAAAACCTGCGTTGTGGAGGCCAACACCAGCAGGCCCGTCCTTTTGGGTGGCTGACAGAGTCTTGCTGACGCGGGACGCTCCTTCCAGCTTCCAAAAAGACTCGGATGACCCTGAAAGCCCCTTTCTTTCCCCCCCCTCCTTTCTCCGGCCTTCCCACCCCAGCAGCTTTGCCAAAACTGCCTTGGGAAGAGGCATGGGGCTGTCTTCCCAAATCCCGGCCCAGCAGGAAGCAGCGGCCTCTATAGATAGAACGGTGTGTGTCTGTGTGTGTGTGTGTCCTGTCTCTTCCCTCTTCACAATGGACAGCTTGTGGAAGCCAGCAGCTATCCTGGCTTATCTAATCAGGGGTTCCTTCCTCCCCAAAACGCGGAGTTTCCATTCAGGGCCCGGCTGGCGCCCGGGGATCTGATTCATTCCTTCCTTATCCTGCTCTGTCGTTGGGTTCCTGTCCTTTTCCGTGGCAGCCCTGGCTGCCTCTTTTGGAAGCTGCGAGATTTACCTTTGGGCAGCAGTTTTTGCTATCGCAAAAGTTGTGGACTTTCTGCTTTTTAATCGAGCGGAGATGCCCCCTCTTCCGGCTCAGAAGTCAAGCCCTCTGCAATAGCCTTTTGCTTTGAGCTACGTGCCGTTGGGGGTCCGGAGTAGCACAGGGTGACTCCCTTTGGAGGGAAGAAACGAGGCAGAATCAGGAAGGGCTGGGGTCTCCGCCCTCTCCTAAGAGCCCGGTCACCAAGCTTCTAGTCCTCGATGCTAACCTGCAGCTCAGGGGATGGATGCAGGAAGCTTGACTGGGTTTAAATCAGGGGTCTTCAAACTTGGCCCTGTTATGACTTGTGGACTTCAACTCCCAGAATTCCTCAGCCAGCGTCCATGGCTGAGGAATTCTGGGAGTTGAAGTCCACAAGCAGGGGTCTTCAAGCTTGGCCCTTGGATGACTTCTGGACTTCAACTCCCAGAATTCCTCAGCCAGCGTCCGTGGCTGAGGAATTCTGGGAGTTGAAGTCCACAAGCAGGGGTCTTCAAGCTTGGCCCTTTGATGACTTGTGGATTTCAATTCCCAGAATTCCTCAGTCAGCATGAGGGAACTATGACCCTTTTATGACTTGTGGACTTCAACTCCCAGAATTCCCCAGCCAGCAAGGGTTTGCCAAAATTCAGCATGGATAGGGCAAGAAACAAAAGTGGCATCGCATATCGCATATTTTTGATAGGGTAAATGTCTTAATAGATGGTGGGAATGTGGTAGATGTAATATATCTTGACTTCAGCAAAGTGAGAGGAAAAAAAACCAGCTGGCTGGGGAATTCTGGGAGTGGAAGTCCATGAGTTTTCAAGTTGCCAAGCTTGGAGAAGGCTGATCTAATTCAGTGGGTTTTTTTCAAACTTTAGGAGGGGTGGGCTTCAATTCCCAGAATTCCCTAGCCAGGTTAGCTTTGCTGACTGGGGGATTCTGGAAGTTTGAAGTTTGGAAAAAAAAACCTACACTGATTTATTTTTATATAATCCCTAACAGAAGCAAGTTACCTTCCTTTGGGGAAGAAACTTTCGGGTGTGTAAAAGGGGGAAAACGTCCTCCAATCCAGTTTCAGCCCTTCCGGGGAATATTCGAATGGACATTCAACCGGAACATGGGCGTCCCAGGTTGGGAGAAGCGGCTGGGCACAAGTCTGAAACGCCGGGAGTTCCTGGGGGACGCCATTCAAGGCTGCCCCCGTGTCCGTTGTGGGTTGCGACAGGGAGCTTGCCCGTCTCAAAATCCGTGTTCACGTTTGGGAAATGAAAATTTGGGCTAAAATGGAGTGGTTTCGTCGGACAGGGAAGTTGTGAATAAAAACCCTCCTCGGTTGATCCACATTACGAATTGAATTTGCCCACCGTCTTCGGCACGCAGGCAGTCCTGGACTTAACGACCCCAACCAGGACAAGAATCTTGGTTGTTAAGTGGGGCAGTTGCGAAGCCAGCCGTGCCCTTGTTTTTATGACCTTTTTTGTTAAGCAAATCACTGCGCGAATCAGACGGTCAGTAAGCAAATCCAGCTGATCGGAAGACAGCCAGGAATGTCATAAAAGGGGGATCCAGTGATCCTGGGAGGCTGCAGGTGTCATAAATATTGAATTTTGGTCACTGACCAGGGGATTGCTATGGCGGTTATAAGCTTTTTCAGCGTCGTAACTTTGAAACAGCTGGTCGTAAGTAGAGGACCTCCTGCTTACGACTTACAGTCATGGAGTGTGTGTCTGTTGCTAAGCGAAACATTTATTCAGGGAACTTGGCACCCTTTTACGCCCTTCCTTGCCACAGCTGTGAAAGCAAATCCCTGCCCGTCATTAAGTGAGTCACACCGTCCTTAAGCGAATCCAGCTTCCCCCTTGACTTGGCTTGTCCGACAGTTGCAAAAAGGGGACTCCGGGAGAGTGCGACCGTCGTAAATACGAGTCAGCTGCCAAGTGTCCGAATTTTGATCACGTGACCACGGGGGAAATGCTGCAACGGTCGCTAAGTGGGAAAAATCGGTCGTAAGGCACTTTTTCCTGTGATGTAACTTTGGTCACTAAATGAACTGTCGTTAAGTCGAGGACTGCCGATATTCTTGTCTTTTTAGACCAGGGGTCTTCAAACTTGGCNGGGTCCTAGTTCCCTCACGCTGGCTGAGGAATTCTGGGAGTTGAAGTCCACAAGTCATCAAAGGGTGATAGTTCCCTCACGCTGTCTGAGGAATTCTGGGAGTTGAAGTCCACAAGTCATTGAAGGGTCCTAATTCCCTCACGCTGGCTGAGGAATTCTGGGAGTTGAAGTCCACAAGTCATCAAAGGGTGATAGTTCCCTCACGCTGTCTGAGGAATTCTGGGAGTTGAAGTCCACAAGTCATTGAAGGGGCCATAGTTCCCTCACGCTGGCTGAGGAATTCTGGGAGTTGAAGTCCACAAGTCATGAAAGGGCCCAGTTTGAAGACCCTTGTTTATTAGACAATAAATTTCCCCAACTTCTCCCCCCCTCCCGGCCTGGAAAAAAATAAAGCAAAACCGCCTCAGAGTCTCGATGTACAAAGTGTATTATAATAACAATAACAACAATAAAAAAAGAATTTCTGGTTAATTCGCTCACAGCAACTTCCGTAAATGCATTAGCTGAGTGTTTTTTTCCACCTCGGCAACTTTTTAAAGATGGGCTGGACTTCAACTCCCAGAATGCCCCAGCCAGCGCATGCTCTGGCTGGGGCATTCTGGGAGTCAAAGTCCCTCCATCTTAAAAAAAGGTTGGAAAAAAACACCGCTTCGCAAGGCAGCAACAGGAACGTGGGGCCCACCGAGCAGGCGCGTCCCGAGTTCGAGGGGCCCTCCCAGCTCCAGGCGCCGGATGGAGAAGAAGAGGAAGCTTAAGAGACGGACTCAACAAAAAAAAAAAGTTCATTTTCTTTTTCCCGGTGCGTGAAAACAAAGCTGTCTCCTCTTGCGCAACGGAGGCGGGCTCCTCCTGGGGATTTTGTGCCAGCCAGCTCCTCCGTGCCCCGAGTAAGGCAGTCCATTCCGGCCAGGTGTCTTCGCCAGGCCTCTCTGTGCCACAACTTCCCCTCCCCAGACCCCCAGACCCCCCCTCACACCCAGACCTTCTCCCCAGCGGCATCCAGGTCCTGCGAGCAGCAGCCGCAGCAGCCCACGCTGTGGTAGCGGCTGGCGGGCAGGTTCTTGTAGATGGCCTTGCTGTAGGGCACCAGGCAGTAGCCGAGCTGCAGGCGGCGGGCCAGGCGGCAGTAGGCAGCCAGGGCCAGGACCAGGAGGGGCACCAGCAGGGTGAAGCCCACCACCAGCAGGCCCACGGCGGCCGAGTCGTGCAAGTGGCTGGTGCAGTAGTGCTCCTGGGTGTTGAGGAACTGCGGAGAGAAAAGGGGAAAGGGGCCGTCGGGAATCTCCTCTAAGCAACCCAACAGCAGGGCTCTGACACACACACACACACACACACACACACACACACACACACATGTACCAGTGAAGCCGGCTCTCTGTGGCATCCATCATCATCATCATCAATAATAATAATAATAGTTGGAAGGGACCTTGGAGGTCTTCTAGTCCAACCCCCTGCTCAGGCAGGGAAACTCTAGGCCATTTCAGACTAATAATAATAATAATAACAACAATGATAACAATGATAATAATAATAATAATAATAATAATAATAATAATAATAATAATAATAATAATAATAATAATAATAATAGTTGGAAGGTACCTTGGAGGTCATCTAGTCCAACCCCCCGCTCAGGCAGGAAACCCTATCCCATTTCAGACAAGTGTTGGAGAAAGGAGAGAGGAAGGAAGGAAGAATAACAGAATAACAGAATAACAGACTCGGAAGGGATCTTGGAGGTCATCTAGTCCAACCCCCTGCTCAGGCATCCCATTTCAGACAAATGGCCGTCCGATCTCTTCTTAAGAACTTCCAGTGTTGGAGAAGGGAGGGAGGGAGGGAGGGAGGGAGGAAGGAAGGAAGGAAGGAAGGAAGGAAGGAAGGAAGGAAGGAAGGAAGGAAGGAATAACAGAATAACAGACTCGGAAGGGACCTTGGCGGTCATCTAGTCCAACCCCCTGCTCAGGCAGAAAAGCCTACACCATTTCAAACAAATGGCTGTCCAGTGTCTTCTTAAAAACTTCCAGTGTTGGAGAAGGGAGGGAGGGAGAGAGAGAGGGAGGAAGGAAGGAAATAGAAAAAGGGGGAGAAAAGAGGAAGGGAGAGAGGGATGGCAAGGGAAAGGGAGGGAGGGAGGGCTGAATGCTGGGAGTGGAAGGGAGAAAAGAAGGGAGAAAGGGGAAGAGAGAAAAGGGCAAGGGGGAAGGGAAGGAAGGGAGACAGAAAAGAGAAAAGAAAGGAGTGAAAGAAAAGAAGCGAAAGAGGAAAGAAAGGAAAGAGGAAATAGAAAGGGAAGGGTAAGGGACAGAGGAGGGGAAAGGAAGATAGAAAAGAGGGAGGACGAAAAGTGAGAAAAGGGAGGGAGGTAGAACAGAGGAAGGAAGGAGAGGAGAAGAGAAGGAGGAAGGTAGAAAAGAGAAAGAAGGGGGGAGGGCAGAAGAGGGACCCCTCCCCTCTCCTGGGACTTAGCAGGAGCAGGAGGAGGAGGAGGAGGAGGTGGGGGGCAGCCTGGGCTATGCCTGGAATGCATCTTTTGGCCCCAGGAGGTTATCAGCCCCCAGCCTGGGCATCTGGCTTCCTTCACCGCCGGGGACAGGCGGAAAGGTGGCAGGCCAGCCGGTGCAGCTTCCCGCCAGGAGGGGCCTGGGGTTTCCTGTTGACCGGCTGCGGTGCAGAGAAGCAGCCTGCCAGCCCCCAGCATCACGGGAGACACGCTCTGGGCAAGTGCCCAGACCCATTTCCGAACCACGGCCACGGCTGCAAAGTGGGTTTTTTTTCCCCCCAACATAACCACAACAACAATAATCATAATGACAATGATGAAGACGCACTGAAGTTAGTACATCAGGAAGGCTTGCTGACTACTGGAGAGACCAAACCGGCCTACAAGAAAGACCAAATGAAGAACAGAATAGAGGCATATAATAATAATAATAATAATAATAATAATAATAATAATAATAATAATAATAGTAGTAGTAGTAGTAGTAGTAGTAGTAGTAGTAGTAGTAATAATAATAATAATAATAATAATAATAATAATAATAATAATAATAATAATAATAATAATAATAATAATAATAATAAAGAACAGAATAGAGGCATGGGAAGGCAAAGCACTACATGGCCAGTACATTAAAAAAAAAATAGCTGGGAAATCAGATAATAACAAGACCTGGCAATGGCTAAGAGCAGGAAAGTTGAAGAAAGAGACCGAGGGACTAATTCTGGCTGCACAAGACCCAGCCTTAAGGACAAAGGCACACAAAGTCAAAATTGAGAAGACAGCGACAGACAGTAAGTGCCACCTCTGCAAAGAAGCCGAAGAAACAGGGGACCACCTGGTAAGCTGCTGCAAGAAGATCGCACAGACCGACTACAAGCAGCGGCACGACAAAGTAGCAACAACGGTGCGTTGGAAGATCTGCAAGAAATATAATTTGCCTGCCAGCCAGAACTGGTGGGATCATAGAGAAAGTCATAGAAAATGATAAAGTTAAACTGCTCTAGGACTTCAGAATTCAAACAGACAAGCACCTGCCACATAACACCTCGGACTTAACAATTGTCGATCAGAAAGACAAAAAAAAGTCTGGATAGTGGACGTTGCTTGGAGACAGCAGAATAGACGGGAAAGAACTGGAGAAGATCACAAAATACAAAGACCTACAAACAGAAATAGAAAGACTGTGGCAAAGGCAAGCAAGGGTGGCACCAATGGTCATAGGCGCCTTGGGTGCAATCCCAAAACAACTGGAGCACCACTTGGACACCATCATCGGCATTGACAAATTCGCCATTGGTCAATTGCAAAAGGCGGCCTTACTAGTTGAAGTCCCCCCAGTCTTAAAGTGGCCCAGGTATTGGACACGTCCGTACTAACACTTCACATTGAATTAGCCAGGCAAAACTCTGCATTTGGTCTGCCTACCGACTAACCCTTGTTGCAGTCCCTGACCTGGGTGTCTCATTCTCACAGGCAGGAGGATCCTGCCCCCTCATGTTTGTTCTCACAACCGCTGGGACAAACCAGAGTCAGGAACCCAAGGATGCTAGTAAACACATACCCATATTTTTTTATTTTTGGGGGGATCTTACAAGTCCAGAGAAATTGCCTGCTGTCTCCTCCAGCCCACCCCCCCCAAAAGGGACAGGGGCCTGACCTACCATCGGCTTGGCCACGTGTTGCATTCCACCCAGAGGGTGATGTGCAACACACACACACACACACACACACACACATATCGCCTTGGGATTCAGGCTGGAGACTTAATCCCAAAACATTTGCCTCTCCCCCAAAGCTCTCCCAAGAGGGAGACCACCCCGTAGTAGCCACGTCAACCTGGACGGGCATGGAGGGGGGGAAGGAGCAGGACTCCTGTGACTTGGGGGGTGGGGTGGGCTCGGAGAGGGGAGGGGAGAGGGGGGCAGGAGGCCAACTGAATTCCAGGGCTGGGCCTGGTCTGGAGATCTGGTCACGATCTGGCCAGAATCTCCAGCAGCAAGAGATTTCGCCCTTAAAAGCCCCATGTTTTCTTCACTGCTGCAAATTGCTGGGAGTGGAGCATGTGCAGAGTGCCTTTGGCTCATCCCACCCCAACGTTTAAGGTCTTTTCGGGCTCCAGAGGTCGTGGGTGCTCCAACACCGGAGGCTTTTAAGGAGAGATTGGACGGCCATTTGTCTGGAATGGCAAGAGGGACTCCTGATGGAGCAGAGGGGCTGGACTAGAAGATCTCCGAGGTCCCTCCCAACTCTTTGTGATTCTATTGATTTGGAACACCTTGCCTCCAGAAGTCGTGGGTGCTCCAACACTGGAAGTTTTTAAGAAGAGATTGGACAAAGATTCGTCTGGAATGGTAGAGGGACTCCTGCCTGCACAGAGGGTTGGACTAGATGACCTCCAAGGTCCCTTCCGAGTCTGTTAATCCAAAGCCCACTATGGCTCAGCTACTTCATTTCTCCCACGAGAGCGTCCTCCATCCGTACAGAGGCTTTGACTCTCCTCTCTCTCCCCCCAACTTTATCCCAATGGAGGATTTCTGAATTCCTAACCCGGAATGAACATATTCCATGGAGTTTTCCGGCACACGCATGACACGCATGCACATCGATGTGCACAAAGAGCTGGAATGGAAGTTATTCAAGGGAGACTTGGGAAGCTGTTTTAATCATGTTCTTCCCATCCTATTTGTTCAAAGAGGTAAATAATAATAATAATAATAATAATAATAATAATAATAATAATAATAATAATAATAATAATAGTAGTAGTAGTAGTAGTAGTAGTAGTAGTAATAATAATAATAATAATAATAATAATAATAATAATAATAATAATAATAATAATAATAATAATAATAATAATAATAAAGCTGGAAGGGATCTTGGAGGTCTTCTAGGCAAGAAACCATTTCAGACAAATATATAATATACTTGGAATAGAGCTGGAAGGGACCTTGGAGGTCATCTAGTCCAACCCCCTGCTCAGGCAGGAAACCCTACCCCATTTCGGACAAATGGCTGTCCAGTCTCTTCTTAAAAACTTCCAGTGTTGGAGCATTCACCGCTTCTGGAGGCAGGTAGTTCCACTGGTTAATTGTTCTGTCAGGAAGTTTCTCCTCAGTTCTAGGTTGCTTTTCTCTTTGATTTAGTCTCCATCCATTGCTTCTTGTCCTTCCTTCAGGGGCTTTGGAGAATAGCTTGACTCCCTTCGTCTTTGGAGCAACCCCTGAGATATTGGAAGACTGCTATCCTGTCCCCCCTCGTCCTTCTCTTCATTAAACTAGACAGACCCAATTCCAGCAGCCTTTCCTTGTATGTTTTAGCCTCCAGTCCCCTGATCCTCTTTGTTGCTCTTCTCTGCACTCTTTCTAGAGTCTCAACATCTTTCTTACATCGTGGTGACCAAAACCGGATGCAGGATTCCAAGTGTGGCCAACTCTAATTTGACTGATCCATGTTGAACCCTCTTAGTATAGCATCTGCTGGCCCACTAGTCAAGTCATCCAATTGTTAAGACTAATTAATCAACGGAACTGCTCGCCTGCAGAAATTGTGGATGCTCCATCACTGAAGGTTTTTTTAAAAGAGATTGGACAATGATTTTTCTGAACTGGTATAGGTTTCCTGTTTGAGCCGGGGGATGGACTAGAAGACCTCCAAGGTCCCTTCCAACTCTGTTGTTCTGTTATCCTCCCTCTGAGAAAATGCCCCTTTCTCTTTTTCTGCCCACAAACGCACCC